ACAAAAAACGAAGTCCAGATGACATGATTCAACCTTTTTTGTTGTTAGCCCTGCTGTTGGCTTTTACATCCGCTAAGAGAGTAAGTGATTTATCTGCCCTCTCTCAGCCTGAATTCCAAGACATGACGGAGCGCATGTCTTGGAATTCAGGCTGATGTCAGCTCAGCTGATCTAAGACTGAATCCAGCTTTATGCCTAAATCATCACAAGCTCTTTTAAATCAAGAGCGATATCGTTGGAGGGGTTTTTCCCTCCCCTCCCCCCACACAAATCAGAAGAAGAAGCATCTTCCATCTTCTCTGTCCTGTGCGGGCGTTGACGTGTTACATAGCTGTAATGCGTCAAACTCAACATTTGTTTGTGCATTGTAGAGATGCATCTGCAGGTCGCCCGTTATCCACCCAGCGCCTGTCGTACTGACTGTGTGAGGCCTTTTTTCTGAAGCCTACGGAGCACCAGATTAGAGCCTCCTGTCAAACTCAGGGTGCACTCGACCAGAGGTATCGCATCTTCGACTGCTTTGCATAATGGTATGACAATGCAGGATATTTGCACTGCGGCCGCGTGGTCAACACCCTGCTCATTTATTCACTCTTATCTACGTGATGTGACGGCTCGTTCCATGACACATTCTGTACTTAGTGTTTTAACAGAATGAATATTGTTGTTTCATGGAATCCCATTTAGCTCACATCTGTCTGCATGCATCACAGTGTGAGATGTTATCAGTCACAAGTTGTGACTGTTATTTAGGTTTTATGGTCATTAATCAGTTCATAACTATTGTTACCAATCAGTTCATTTGATTAATAATCAGCTCTCTTGTTATTATTAATCTGTTCATACTGTTCACGGCTCCTTTCAGCATTTCTCCCCTCCCTTGAAACTTTTCCGGGGCGTTCATGCATTCAGAACGCATAATTTAACAGCTTGCGTCTGTGCATGGTACAAATAATTACGCAACGCGTAATTATGTAAATGGAGAGCTGAACGACATGACGTTTTTGGGCAAGCTTCCGCTTCATACGGTGTTCGAATGGACCCAGTGAGGCGAGGACCACATCTGCTTTGCCCATAACCCACTAAGCGACAGCCTTAAAGGGCGAAGCCTATATGAAATAGAACCTTGGTTACCTACTGTAACCCCAGATTCTATGAGTATAGGCATAGCCCTTTAAGCGTCGGGCCTCACTGGCTCCTAAGTGGCTGAAGAAAAAAGCTATTTGGGAGCCGATTACCCACTCTTAACGTAATTTATACGGACCGGGTGGGGCCCACACAGCAGGTGGGCGTGGACTAAATTTTTCAGTGTAATGCTTCACATGATGGGATAAACCCACTAAGCGACAGCCTTAAAGAGCTACGCCTATATTTATAGAATCTGGGGTTACAGTACGTAACCATTGTTCTATTTCATATAGACTTTATATATTGGGGGGGGGGGGGGGGAGTGTCCTAAGCTGCGCAAAACCAACCATTTTTGTTGGTTTTGGGGGGAGGGGGGGACGACACACACAGAGGCAGCCGCGCGCTGTTTGCACTGCGGGTTTTACAGTTTTAGAGCAGGGTGTGTGAGAGGAGAGAGACAGACACACATCGCAGCTGTGCGCTGTCTGAACCGACAGTTGGGGTTTTTTTTGGCGGGGGGAGAGACAGACGCACATCTGAGCCGTGCGCTGTTTGTACCCTACAGTTTTTGAGTGGCGGGGGTGCATTCAGCATGAAGGTTCAGCATGAAGGAAGAGGCTGCCTTTAGCTTTTCAGCTAGTGCACCTGCATTGCGAGCCGCTAGTTTAGCGTTACGTCAGTGCCGACAGGTGGTTTGGGGTGGGGGGTGGGATTCGGTAGATGGGGCGCTCGGTTCTGTTGATGGGGCGGGGCACCCCGCTTGTATAATGGTAGGGTAAACACTGCTTAACGTGTTTTTAGACTTTCTTCCAGTACATCTGGACATACCATTCTGTGTCTGTCTCTCCTTCCTGTCCTCTCAAACCAGCCGGTCAAAGCAGATGGCCGCTCGTCCTGAGCCTGGTTCTGCTGGAGGTTTCGTCCTGTTAAAATGGAGTTTTTCCTTTCTACTGTCTCTCTTGTACTTTCTCAGGATATGAGACTGTGACAAAGTAAAGATTCAACACATTTGCTGCTTCCTTAGATAGAGAACTTAACTAATTGGCTTTTGTATGTATGTTATCTATGTGTGTTGATGTTTCTGTTCAGTGCCCTCAGATGACTTCTGTTTTGACGGTGCTATTTAAATTAACTGAACTGACTGAATTTTTTTCTGAACAGTTGTAAAGATGGCTGTATTTGCTTTCAGCCTTGGCCAGTTTCTCTTCAGCAGAGCTACTGTACATACTGCAGCTACAGACATGCATGCCTATAAGGTTCTGATCAGTGACAATAATTGGCGCATACCCTGCAAGACACTTTCCTACAGGGGGCTGTGAGCACAGAGTCTCAGCAGGGGATTCAAGGAGTAAAGTACTTTGTCACACAATCACATCAACAAGACACAACTTTAGCACTTCTCGTGGAGTATAAACTAGACTTTAAGAAGTAACAATATTCAACCCCTTTGCAGTTCACATTTTTCCACATGACTTTTCTGCATAAACGGATAGAACTGCCTTGGAATAAGAAAGTTCCAGGTTTAAACTAAATCAAAACTTTATTGATTGACAAGACACCAGAGTTTACCTTTAAAAGATTTTAGATAAAGCAAATACTTTTTTTGTTGAAAATAATTTTGCTGTCATCAGTTTACTAAAAATTTGTCAATGTTTTGGGTCTTGATTGATAGTAAATTTAATCTGTTACTGTTGTACATATCTGGAAATTATTTTTTGTCATGTCTAAAACTCTGCATTGGAATATTATGAAGTAGATCTGACTTCTATTGAGATGATTTGTTGTCTTATGCACTGCTAATGTATTTGTCTTCTTTTCATAGGAACTGGACAAGATTGTTGAGTATGAGCTCCAAATGGGAGGGGTTTTGCTGCACCCCACCTTCAGTGGAGGCAAAGAAAAAGACAAGTAAAACAGAGTTCATGTGCATCAGTTACTGTTTGAGCATCAGAAGCAAAGCTACTTATATTCATAACTGTTGAGGTTTGTTCAATCGTAACAATGAGACTGATCAGGTTCTTCTGTTTTCAGTCCAACACCCCACCTTCACTTCTCCATCAAGCACCCACACACCCTGTCCTGGGAGTACTTCAAGATGTTTCAGTGTAAGGCCCACCTGGTGATGAGGCTGATAGAAAACAGAATCAGCATGGAGTTCATGCTGCAGGTCAGACACTGCCAGGATTTCTTAATTTCTTGTTTGCATATCTCATATAGATCATTTTAAAGCATCCTTTTTTATTAGTTATTTTAGTTAGTTTTTTATTAGTTACCTATCAGTCTAACATGCATGTTTTTGGTCTGTGGGAGGAAACCCCTGCAGTATGGAGAGAACATGCAAAAGACCTTTCTGGACCCAGAAAGGTCCCCGGCCGGAATTTGAACTGGCAACCTTCTCACTGAAAGGCAGGAGTTTTACCAACTGAGCCACCATATCGCCCACAATCACCATACTAAACGCTAACATTTTCAGAGATCATTCACTTGTAAGCAGGGCCTTAGTTTCATCACAGACATGGAAAATACTGAGTCAGTTTTCAAATGTCAGAAGTGGATTTCTTTAACACCACTTTGAGTCAGCAGTGTAGTTGCTGCTGTTTGTCCCGAGGCGGTACCATAGCTTCCTGTAGTAGAAATGTTTCAGTGAAGCTGTGTGCTTTTACATCTTTACATCTTTTTTCATGAAAAACAAAAGTAAAATAAGCATACAGTATATTATATACTTATTAGTTATATATATATATATATATTAAATACTTATTATACTTATTTTTTTCATCTTTTCTTCCCTGAACCCTAAGTAATATATGTCAGTAAGTTATATTTGAAATTATGATAATGTGGCTGTCTTTAATAATGACTTTCAAACAATCTGTGTGTAAATATCCAGTGTTAAAGACAATGTTAACTGTATTAGCTTTCTATGGCAATTTCAGTGTTGTTAGCATTTATGTGAAGTGTTGGTCAGTACCTTGTAGTATATGGTATTATGCATGAAAATATACATAACCAGCCCTATTAACAACTTTATTTTTTGTATTTCTCTAGGTTTTTAACAAACTTCTGAGCCTGGCCAGCACAGCCTCATCTCAGACATATCAGACCCACATGTGGAGCCAGATGCTTCTGTCCACTTATGCCTTTCTCAAATCCATCTCCAATGTTTCTGGCAAAGACATTGGCCCCCTTATCAAACAATGGGTGTATCCTTCTGCCTGTATGCTCCTAAGCTCGGAGCTGGCGTCATGCTGTCATATCATAAGAAATAGAAACATCTAAATACAAAAACTAAACAGGTCCTTGATCATTTAAAAAGAAAAATCAACTATGACATGAGACAGAAAACCCACAGTTCGCGTTACTTTTAAATGTACACTAACAAAGTAATCTGCTCCATCTGGGCAGGATTTTTGTCTGTATTCGTACAGTATCTACACCTGTTTTCATTCTTAACTCTTCACATTCAGAGACCAGAGCAGTGTGGTGAAATTCTTTGGCAGCTTTGCCTTTAACAGAAAGAGGAATGTGCTGGAGCTGGAGATCCGTCAGGACTACACATCATCTGGAACTCAGAAATATGTGGTGAGTTCACGATCACAATCGGTGTTATAAAGCTTTTCAAACTTTTCATGGTATTTGTAAAAGATTTAGGAAAACGAGCAGAATTTTTGTTCCATTTCACAACTGTGTTACTTTGTGTTGGCCTGTTACACAAACTGATTGAAAATAGTCAAATAGTTTGAAGTTTTTTCTTGTAATGTTGCTAAATGTGAAAAGGTTTAAGAGCATACCTGCAAACTAGTCACTTTTTGGTGAAATTCGCCGTTTTCAAACTAAAATATGTAATTTACATGAATCGTCCGGATCTGAGTTTTTTTTGTGTGTTTTTTTTTTTTGGGGGGGGGGAGTCAGGCGTGGTGGATGGTATAATTTCCCTTTAAGGAACAGCGTTCCTCCTCTGTCATTTAGTGTAGCAGGTGGCAGGTGCTCATCTCTTTGAGGGTTTTGTTGTCGGGGCGGGGGGAGGAGGGGGACACACCTTCGTGTTACGCGTTAGCTTACAGCTACATTAGTGATGTCAGCTGTTGACCGACAGGTGTGTGTGTGTGTTAGGATGTGTGAGAGAAACGGAGCGTGTAGCATCTTAGCTAGCGTGTCTGTGTTGTGTGCGGCGAGATTTTGCCTTAAGATTAGAGAAGTCCAGGTGTTTTAGAGAACACCTTGAAGGAGAAATATGGTGCTAGGTAGAAAGAAGCCAAGTAACACAAGTTTTCTGTAAAGTAAAATTGGTAAAATGAGGAAGGAATAGTGGAAAGGAAACAATGGGAGAAGGAGATGGATGTTTTTCCAACTGGATTGTGAAGGAAAGAGGAATAAAATTTATGAAGTGTAGAAATTGTGGCAGCAAGGAAGGAACCTGTAAATTATTTTGTTTTAAAAATTACATGCAGGTTGACAAAACTGACTAAAATGATTTTGTTTTGTTTTTGTCACATGCTTGGCACAGTGTAACTTAGTGTTGTGAAGGCTGCATGGTGCCAGGTCATTTTTGATGAGTCTATCACTAAATCAGAAAACAGTAAAAAGCACCTGAATTCACTGCTGGTGGTTCAACATTTTTCAGTCAGGTCATCTGGACAGTTTCTTTTTTTGTGCTGAAATGTTTCGCTTTCTATCCGGAAGGCTTCATCGGTCAAGGAAACTAAATGGTAAATGGACTGTACTTATATAGCGCCTTTCTATCTTATTTCAAGATACTCAAAGTGCTTTACACTACAATCTGTGCCTCATTTACCCATTCATACAGCACTCTACTAGATCTCTATAAAGCTAATTGAACAAATCATTCTAAAGAGACTAATCAGAGCTTTATCACATTCATCCACTGATGGGACACACATCAGACGCTATGAGGGGTTCAGTGTCTTGCCCAGGGACACTTCAGCATGTGACTTTTGGTGGATTCGAACCCCCAACTCTCGCATTGGAGGACGACTGCTCTAACCACTCAGCCACAGCCGCTGGTGATTGTTAAAATGTTCATTGGGTAAAGTTAAAGGGGGTGCTAGGTTTGTCACCTTTTTCATCCCTTCTGAGTTTGCAGGTATGTAAGAGGTATGAAGTCTTTTGTTCACGGCTCTGTATCATATACACAGTATGCAGCTGTTCACATGATTTAAAAATTATTTTATTCACTTTTAAAGTTTCAAACAACTTCACTTCCAATTATTTAACTGAACGTTTTGACTTTTCTGCTCCTAAAAGAGCACTGAGATCCTCCAGACAGATCTCTTAGGCTTAGCAGCTCTAAGGCTGCTCTTAGATCAGCCGAGAGCTAAATTCAAGGGATCAGGCTTTTGCAGTGGCAATCCCCCCAAGGAACAACCTGCCCATTGACGTTTATTCTGCAATCTATATGTTCTTTTAAATCCTGCTTGAAAACCCACTTTTAGTTTGTTTTTAACCATTTTATTGTACTTGTCAGACTTTGTGACATTAAAAAAAACATTAATTTTAGGAACAAAGTCCATGCTCAATAATCCAGGTATACAATCCAATATTTTTCAGTCAGGTCATCTGGACAGTTTCTACTGGTTTGTTCCACTTTGGAGTAAGCTGTTGGGGGAAGAATCAGTTTTGTTGTGTGTTTCCTTGACTGATGAAGCCTTCCGGATCGAAGGCGAAACGTTTCAGCACAAAAAAACCCCCGAAAAAACTGCACAGATGACCTGACTGAAAAATGTTGGATTATTTTTAAGGTTTTTCCTGGTTCTTTTTAACCTCCGTTTGAAGCACTTGAGTCAACATATTTGTTTTTAATTATGCTATATAAATAAATTTGACTTAGTTACATACAGGCAAAAGAATAAAGTATGAACATCCTCGTTCAAGTCGGATGTATTAAATGTCAGGAATAATAATAATAACAAAACAAAACAAATGAGCAGCAGGGAGATTTCTGATCCAGAGAGTGAAACAACAGTATAATCACATTTTAATGACCTCTGTGGAGAATGAAAAAGGGATCCTAGTGTCAGAGTCAGAGAGATTTATTTGTCATACACACCACACGTGATACATGAGGTGGGATGAAACTATGTATGCAAAGTCCCAGTTACATCCGACAGAAACACAAATTGTAAAAAAAAAAAAAACATTAGTAAAGTCCGAGTCATGAACTAAGAATATACTACATTCACTAAACTAAGAATACACAGACTAAGAATACACTAAGCACTAATGGTACAAAAACCATGTGCCAAAACAACAGCAGCACCAACATGAGCCTGTGTGAGCAGATTAGGACTAATGAACACAACAACATGACATAATCAGGAGCATGAGATCAACATCATGGGTAGTCAGCAGCACACATCAACAACCAAGTGACATTACAATGATTTTCACAGGGTTTTTTTTTTCACAGTGATTTTTTTTCCTGGTTAGAGATTCATGAGTCTAACAGCCTCAGGGTAGAAGCTGTTCCTCATCCTGTTAGTTCTGCACTTAATGCTCCTCAGCCTTCTGCCTGAGGGGAGCGGGGCAAAAAGTGTGTGTGCTGGGTGAGTGGGGTCCTTCATGATGCAGGTGGTCCTCTTCCTACATCTGGAGGTGTAGATGTCTGTGATGGTTGGGAGGCTGACTCCAACAGACTTCTGTGCAGCCTTCACCACTCTCTGCAAAGCTTTTCTTTCTGCAGCTGTGCAGCCTCCATGCCACACGTTGATACTGGAGCACAGGATGCTCTCCACTGCACACCTGTAGAAGGAGGTGAGGACTGAGCTTCCCAGACCAGCTTGTCTCAGCCGCCTGAGGAAGTAGTCTCTGATGAGCTTTCTTGATCAGGCTGGTGGTGTTGTTGCTCCAGCTGAGGTTGTCATTCATGTGCACACCCAAGTACTTGTAGCTGGAGACCACTTCCACCGCAGATCCTCTTATGTTCAGGGGGGTAGGTGTGTTTATTCCTTCTGAAGTCCACGACCATCTCCTTCGTCTTATTCACATTGATGTGAAGGCTGTTCGTCCTGCACCAGCTCTCCAGGTGTTCCACCTCCTGCCTGTTGCTGGACTCATCATTGTTTTTGATGCATCCAACTACCGCTGTATCGTCTGCAAACTTTATGCTGGTGAAGATTCTCAGTCATCCAGGACATGATAAATTCAAAAAACGTTCAATACAATAACAACTGGACTTTATTTGTAACAGAAGACGTTTCACTCCTCATCAGAGGAGCTTTCTCAGTTCAATGAGCAGTAAGTGAGAGATTCAGGTTATAAGGCTGGGTGAGATAAGACCCACACACATATGTAGATTTGAGAAGTCACACCTCAACACCTTAACAATAGGGGTTTCTTAAGGTCTTTGTTACTCTAATTCACAGATGAGACCCCTCTGTTCCCATCAAGTGTGAAAACCGGCTGGGAATCTGTTAAAGTTGCATTATAGGTTTTAGAAAGTGGAAATCTGAGGCCTCGTCCTCTGTTAAGAGATGGCTTTTCCCTTTTTACATAAATTGCTTCCTTCACCCCCTCTCTAACCATCTGTGTTCTCGGTTCAAAATGTGCACATTTTGGTCCTCAAAAGAGTGTTCCTTATCTGTGAGATGGAGGTGAACAGCTGAATCTTGTCCTGTGGAGCTGGCTCTCCTGTGTTGAGCCATGCGTCTGTGAAGAGGCTGTTTAGTTTCCCCAATGTAGAAGTCTGCAAACTTTACCATATGACAGCCTGGATGGGTCGGTATGCAGTCATAGATTAGCAGAGTGAACAGGAGGGAGTTCAACACACAGCTCTGTGGGTAGCCCATGCTGAAGGTTATGGTGGAGGAAGAGAAGTCGTGGATCTTCACAGATTGTGGTCTTTTGGTTAAGAAGTCTAGAACCCAGTTGCATAGAGAGGAACTTAGTCCTAGTGTGATTAGTTTGTCCATCAGGGTCTGGCGAATCATGGTGCTGAAGGTAGATGTTGTTGTGGTTAGAATACCACGTCTTTGTTGTGGTTAGAATACCACGTCGTGTTCAAAACGGCTGAGGCGTCGCCCTTCGTATAAAAGATTTATTTGACACAACATGGGTTACAGATATTCAGAGACAAACAATTACATTAATAAGATATATGCATATAAATGGAGCATTAAGAACGAACCGCCATGTGCGCCTCCCGGGAAAATGCTCGGTGGGCGTGCGTCATTTCCGGCCTTTTATCCCCGTTTGAGAAGGCTAGCTTCCTGATTGGTTCAGCTTCTGTCGCTATGGTTACGACTTAGCCCGCCCCCTCAAGTACGTTAACGTCTATATTTCAGATAAGTTTTGGTTCACCGAAATCGGCTTTTGTTTAACGTTTAACTTGCTATTCTACTTTAGGGATACAACAATGCTTCGTGTCAAAATTGTTATACATAATTATTAATTATCTACCTCATGGGTATGTTAATTCAATATCTGTTGGAGGCCTGGTGATTGTTTTTAAGGCAGAATCATCTTAGTTTCTGTGTCTGCGTTTAAACTGTTAACACTGTTTGTTTAACGTGATTATACCTTAGTGATAACACTGATTTGAAATAGTTGTTTATTTCTAGGAATAA